TACGAAACTAATTTTGAGAAAATATCACCGTATCGAAATAAAAAGAACAAAAAAGAAAAGTGTGACAAAATGTTCTTGTTTCTTGATATTAACTGCGAATTCTATAGCTTCATCTTCCCTCCAGAGTTTTTAATATTTCTTACATATTGCTTTTCCTTGCTATATTCTAAGAGAAAAAGAGGAACGCGAGGCGAAAATTAAATTAGAGCATTTCGATTCTATAAACACAATTTGATATGCTTGTTTCCAAATGTTCAAGATATATTTCTAAACTTTTCATTTCAAAGTTAAGCACAAAATAATGTATATGTAGTACGACATAAGCTTACATAGTAGTATCATTACAGGTGTATAATTGAAATTTTACTCTATAATATTGACATTTCCTTACTAGCCCAAATGAGTTGTTAATCTTAGAAGCGCAATTTTGCATTGTTTCAATTTTTATTTAAGTCTATTCCCATTCTACAAAATGTAAGATACTTATCTTTCAAATTGAATCTATCTGTTACTGATGAATAATTTAAGCTATTTAAAATCAATAGATACTGTTTTTAAGAGTAACATTTTTTTTTAAACTTCTGAATCTGATTCAGTTAAATAAAAGCGAATTTAATTCATGATATAGCTATGTAAAAAATATTAAATACTTTTTATAGAATTACGCCACATATTTTTTCACTTTTCAAACATATGTTTTCACCTTAATATATTGGTTCCTTTTCTATTCGAGTTTGTTGCCATTCGAAGAAACGTAAGATATCTTTCTTTCATATTTAATCTGTCTGTAATTAATTAACAAACTAAACGCTTTAAAAGCAGTAGATGTATTTCTTAAAATATTATTTTTTGATTTTTAATTCGATTGATTTAATTAAAATACCTTCAACTCTTTATACATCTAATTAAAAACATTAAACATTTTAATATTGTTACTTTTTAATCTGATGGATTTAAATAAAAAATGCATTTAATTCATGGTATATCTAGTTAAAAACATTAGATACTTTTATAGAATTACATTATGTATTTTTTAGTTTTTTAAATATGCAAAATATACATATAATGTTATAAGGTATTTCTCCCGCCATCTTAGCATGCCTTTGTAGTGTGGCACGCTGGGCGCGTATTCCAGAGGTTCGTGGTTCGATTCCTGGCGAAGGCTTTGCTCAATTTTCCCTTTCTTGCTTCCAAAAAATACCTAATGTCTCTACAATGTTCCCATCTTAATCTAAATGTACTATATTCACCTAATATCCTATAAGAGTTTCCGTTTTTCCACCTGGGACGTCTCTGTCGCTAACTTCCACTGATGAAACTGTGAGATTTGAATTGTGCTATTAAACTTTAAAACAGCCTTTCTGGGCGATCATTAAAATCTGTACCCTTTCAATTTTTCATCCTTTTAACAAAACATTTTATTGCAATGATATCTTGGAGAAAATCGCATAAAAGCATGACCTATAGTGACACATTGGTAGTTCAGTTTTGTAACATTTTTTTATATTATTATAAATTTTATAAACTTATGGAATATAAAATATTCTATCTGTATATTATTGAATTATTTGACTAAAAAGCAGAAAAAAATTCTTTTGTGGATCTTATGTAATAAATATATTTTCAAATATGATCATAACTTTAGATTAACGAGAATTGCACTGGTATACGGTCTCCATGCGCTCTGGTAAAGAACAGAGTAGCGTAGTAAAAATAATCATGTTATTTTCAGCCAATTAATTATAAATAATATGTAATGATGGGAAAAATTCTCTCAATATATATTTCTTACAAATTATTTACAAAAATATACTTGGAATGCTTTCATGATGGTAAACCCAAACCATTCTTCTAAAATATTTCTAAGTTCTTCTTCTTAGTTTCCTAACAGTTTCGAAAAACATTGTTACATGTACAGTGGCTCACGCTTGCTTTTAGATACTTGTATTTTTTAAATTTAGTTTCATAGGGTTTGTACTAAATATTGAAACTCATACTTCAATTTTGAAAAATAAATGTCATCATAATGTTTTTGTAGTAAAATTATTTATTCAAAAATAATAATGAGTAACTCTCATAAATAATGGAGATCCTCGAAAGTTTGAGATCTTTTGGCAGACTAAATTTCTTGCTGTAATTTTTTATTTTAAATGAAAAAACATCAAACAAATTATTGTCTCTATTTGGATATTATTATTTTTTAGCAAAATGTTTTGAGAATTTCATACATGAAACGAACATGACAAAATGCTACAAATTAAAAATAAATTCTCTAGAAATTTAAATATTAATTAATAATATAAAATAAATTTTTTGAAAGGTAGTAAAAGTATTTGATATATAAAAATAATCCTTAAGTAAAGCGTTAAACTATTTTTTATGTTAAAAAACAGTGGAAATTACGTGTAACTGGTTAAAATAGCCTGAAGTCTACAGTACATTCCCAGCTAACGCCAAGAAATTGGAGTTATATCCTATGAAAAATAAAGGTTAAAACATTAGTGATATAAAACTTGCAGCGCTGATTTAAAAGAAAAATTTTCAATAAAACGTAATCTTAAAACTGTTAAAAGATTCATTAGGGCATATGGATACAATGGGCGATAAGGAAGAAGGAGATTCTTCGTCGATAAGAAAACAAAAAAAAAAAAAAAAAAAAAAAATATGCCTTGTTTTTCACAAAATCCATGGTAAGCAATTATCATAATGGAAAAATGTTATACTTGCAGACGAGTCAAAAAATAAATACATTTGGATGCGATCAATGAATTACAGTGTGGTGAAATTCGAATGAAGAATAGAATCCAAAATCTTTATTGTCTAATTTTAGCACAGGTTTTAGATGGTTTGTAGATGTTTCGTTGCCTTTCAGATAGAAATCTAGTTTTCTTTAGAAAATAATATGGATCATTATAAGTATACAAAAATTCTTATTATCAAATTTCTTATCAGTTACTGAAAGCATCTGAAGGAAAATTTGGAATGCAAAATAGATTCAAGGATATCGATCCTTAGCACACAGCCCTAAATATACGCTTGTGGTTGTTATGCAACTGTCCTGAAGTTGTCAAAACTCTTTCATATTCTTCGGACTCAAATCCTACCCAGCATGTAAGGAATAAATTGAAGAAAAGCGTAAAATAATACGATATTTCTTCGAAAGTTCTATTAAAGCAATTCTTACTGAAGAAAGGAAAACATGGGATGTTTTTACCCCCCCCCCCCCCAAATAAGTTGAATTCATGCCAATCTTAATATTAAATATGCAGTTGTTTTCATATTTTTGTTAAGTATTACTCAACATGTCTGACTACTTAATGAACTCATATTTCGGAACATTTTATTTATTAGTTCAAAGGGGTAATTTGCCCTGAAGGACTATTAATTTCGTTTTGGCATTTTGCGTTAGTTCACTATATATGTCGGTTCACTTTTCAAATTGTTGCCACCAAACATTATCGCCCTGTGTTATACTTAAAGAAATTAAATAATGAAGAATCTTCATAAATATATGTATGTTTCTCGCACTGGGATAAAAAAACGGTACCGAGAGCCATCCAATTTTGAATGAAGTAATTCTACTGCGAATATTCGTCATCTGAAAGCCCAAATTTGAAATTTGGAATTTGTTTTATTATGGACTTCATATTTTGTAAAATTTTAACGAATTTTTCATTAACAAACTCAAGGATTTCAAAGCGAGTTATGGCAACGTTGTACAGTAAAAACATTTTTATTTCCAGTACGTGAGACTGTGTATCCCGAAATTCTAAAGATATGCTCAATTTAAAATTATTTTGGGATATTGCTCTTGAACTGAATTTTATAGTTTAAGTGCGAAGAACATGATATTTAGTAAATAAAGGTAACACACAAAACGTTAAAGAAACGCCCCTTTGGGCGTAGTGTAAAATCTGAAATCTTTCAGTGTTTATTTATTTATTTATTTTACCAATTATGTTTTGAACGACTTTTTCAGAAACAGCGGATTTTCAGAAAGTTCATCAATAGTATAAATGAAAGAAAAATACCGTTTCTCCAGTATTTAGAAATTATTATTTTCAAATAAAATTGACGAACGCAAGTGTCCAAAAACCAAATGTGAGCCACTGCATACTCGTATTTCAAATAGAGGTAAACATTCACACTGATTGGGAAAAAATAAAGAAATGGTAAAGTTAAACAAAAGTGAAATCTTATTTGATTGATAATGATAAAATGAATGTTTAATTGAATTATTTCGAAATATTTCAACACATTGATAAATTCAAATTTCAGTTTTGTCACAATTTTAGAGATTGTTTTAAATCAGTATTTACTGAAAAGAAAATACAAAGCCTTTGTTTTATTACATTTAAAAAAGATCCATTACACAACTAATAAATTAACTAATAATTAATAATTGTTTAACTAATAATTAAGAAGCTATGAAATAGAACAAATAAATTACTGCTATGGAGAACGAATTACTTTATTGCTATCCTATGCGAGAAAATTATAAACACGCATACTTCACAATTTAAAAATTACTTGTCTTGTAAAAGAGCATAAATTTTGCAGATGAAACAGTTTGGAATGCTTTTTAAAATAATAAATGCTTTCGCTATTAATCTAAGAGCACAAACTTTACATAAATGCAGGCTAAAAACTTCAGATTATAGCCTGACATATCGGACAGCTTACGGTTGTTGTTCTAAAACGTTTAAAAATATTTAAAAAAAATTTAAAATATAATAATCTTGGGATTGAGAAGAAACTGAAGTTTATTTATACGTAATTCATTATATGAAAATAAACAATAGAAGAGTTTTGTTCCAAGGGTTTAAAAATAGTTTGTGTTTGAATCTGAGAATGTGTGTTCTAGATTCTGTCATACTTTACAGAAGATGTTTTAGTTTTCTTTTAATTTTTTCAACTTTTGAGAATTTTTAATGCACATTTCAGCTATTTTTTGAGAGACTGTTAATTTACTAATTAAATACACATGTTATGATTTTCAGCCTCCTGATCCCTCTGATTTGGCAACAGTCTGTTACACGAGCGGAACAACTGGTGATCCCAAAGGAGTTATGCTAACACATGCCAATTTTGTTTTGACAAGCTCAGCTATTATGAAACATATGGTAAGTGAGAACTAATGACTTTTCCGATATAGAGAAACTTGCATGTTTGTACTAGTATATGTGGTTATTTACAGATACCTTGAAGGGCGTAACATTTAATTTTGATTTAATTTACAAATTAGACAAAGCACTTAGATTTATTCCATTATTTTGAAATCAATGCAGACTTTTGAAAGATATGACAAGCAATCTTACTTGAAAGATGATGATACAAAAGTAATTAATTCAGCAGAAATATCTTTTCAGACACAGCTGTTTCAGTTTGTTTCAAGCTATTTCCGACGATTATGGTTTTCTCATTTAAAAGTCGCTTTCAGAAGTTCCAGTAAGTACGCTATGATTTGATTTAGCTGGCCGGGAGTGTTTGATTGAATTCCTAATAAATACAACTTTAGTGCTGTATTAGAAATAAAAGACTAATTTCTTTTACAATATGTTAAATTAATATTATTTCTTTAAAGTTATACTATCTCAGTTATAGGCGACTTCGTGTCCCCATGGATAGTTAATAGTTAAAACTGCTCCGTTTGGTTTGCTTAAAAGTAAATATAAATGTGATTCCTAATTCAATGCTCTCATTGCCTTGCAAAGTATTAAAATGACATTTTATGTCAAAAATAAGTAACTAAAGAAAGACCTAAATCAAATCTCAAATTTGTATATAAAAATACAGTTGTTTATCGTTTAAGTGGATGCAAGGTTGTTTTAAGTATCATTAGGTGTGACAAAGTATGGCAAAATATTCTATGCCTTTGTAAATGTCGTTTTACAGGGCATTGGCTTGTATTTATGTCAGACATAACTAAAACTGGAAAGCCTCATGCAAACAGCTCATTTTCGACAATGTCGACATGAATGTTGTTATTGTTGTCTGATGCTGACTTGTCTGACCTATACTCAGCCCAAGTCCATGAAATTCCTCGTGGCAAGGAACGCAAGTTTACGTCTTTCGTTGGCGACAACCTAGAGCACCATACAACTAACAAACTAACAGTGTAACCTGGCTCAGTTGCCCCCCCCCAATTTTGATGGAGAGCACTCCGCGGGAACGGATCCGAGATCTTCCACATCTTTCCCCTACCAGCAACTTCTCGAGAGGAGTTTTGGCTCGCCGCATATTTAGAGTGCTGCCATGCCGCACGGACACTATACATTTACAAACATCCACACCCTCTCTGGGAATCGAAGCCGACTCCTTTGGTATGGCAGTCAGGGTCAATAACCATTATACCCGTTGGGAGGCGACAGGCAAGTAATTTTACTTGAATTACCAGCAGTTGTGTCTTTAGCTACCCGATCAGTGGAGGGTTAAGAGAGTCTGATACAAATTTATTTTACAAAATGGGAGTCATAAGCTAAAAGATTATGTTTTTATAAGACTGGAGTACTGAAAGCAAAACGACAGTCTTACTGTAAATAAAGAGAGCACGACAGTAACGAGAGCAAATTGCCCGGTGCATTCGGTGCATTTGACAGCACGCCAGCTCTCATTAGCTACCATACATGCTCTTTCAGCCATAGAAACACGAATATCGTTAAAACGTGTCCTACGAAAGTTAAAAAACTATCGAATCAGCACTTAAGTAAACCTCCTCAAACCCTTCAAAATTCTGGCGTCTTCAGCAACTGCCTAGTTATCATATGTTTCGATAGTCGATCGTGATTGTCTGTAATATATGATACTCGCATATTGCCATGTAGAGCGATGCCAGCGATTTTTAGCCGCTCAAATTCAACTATGTCTTCGAAAAGGGATACTTTGTATTGCATTCTTAACTATTGGAAGCCATGTTCTTCCAAATCCTTCGAATGCTTAGTATTTTAATGAGCATCAACCGGTATTTAAATTCGATTACTCTTTAAGCAGAATTCTGTCTCTTATATTAAGGTCTATAGTTTACCTTAGACCTAGAGATCTTATACCTATAGACCTTATACTATATTATAGGTCTATATTTTGAAAACGGATGTCATTTACTTAAACAGAAAATTTCTTTTTGATTACTGCAGGGGGACAAGGCTCCTGCCGAAACTGATGTAATGATTTCTTACTTGCCACTTGCGCATGTCTTTGAGCGGATATCCCAGGTAAGTCGTTTAGATTCTTGATGTAAAAGGTTTCATTGTGAAATAATACTAAATATAAGAATACTGAAATCCAAAATCTTTATAAAAATTGAAAATGTTGAAAAGCAGAACCCAAGAAAAGGTTTTACGCTGAAAGATTCTTAATTTCCAGTAGAAATAATTAATAAATATTAAAGACATTCAGTAAATATATTACGAATACTCGAATCTTTGTGATATGTCTCAAATTTTATTAAATACATAATTATTGTAAATACGTAATTATTGCAAACATAGTAGGGTTTTAAAATTTCTATAACAGTTGCATCAGGTAAAAATAAAAAGAATATTAAAAATATTTTGTTTTGTACAAGTAAATACATCAAAGAAGAAACTATGAGATTAATTATTCAGTACAGACGTAACTGCACACTTTAAAGCAATACTGTGCACAGAAAACATTAAAAATGCACATTTAATTTTTGAATACGGAGCTTATTCAGTTTGACTATGCTAAGCAAAACTGGTATATTCACCAAGATGAAAAATATTAGAGGAAGGACAACCCTAAATTGTCTGGAATTTGAAGTCAAATCTTAAAAAATTCTCGAATATTTTGAATCTTTGATAGAAGAAGAATAAACAGAAGAGAGGAAGCAAGAGAAACTTTTACTTAACATTAAAGATTTATAATTTAAAAAAAAAAAGATAATTCAAATCTGCATTTAAGTAAAAACAAGCTTAAGAAGATAGTTTCGTAGTTTTTAAAACACACCTATATTTAATAAGAAAATATAACTAAAATTATTAAAGGAAATACATAATTAAAACTTGAAATTTACTAATTTTTTGCAATATGATTTCATCAAAAAACGTAGCAATAACTCACATTTTATAAATTGCTTCAGAAGTTTTTAAAGCAAAGCAAGTGAAAAGGGGCTAACAATATTTAAAGCGTTAACATAGATAAACACTAAAAATTACAAGTTTAAATTTTCTCCAGAAACTTAAATATCAAATACAAAAATAAGGCATTCAGGGCTATAACGAGATGATGCTGGTGATCCAAGTTCGATGGAATGGAAACAATCTCGTTCCTTCCCTTTCTTTTCTTGATAATCATCGCTTTTAATGAGTACGATTAAAACTAATATTCGGAAGTTGAACTGGAACATTTAAGAGGTTTTAAATTTAGGATTCGACACTTACGAATAGTGAAGAAAGTGTGCGAAAACTCGAACCTCGAATATTTCGTAAGATTTGTGGGATTCGAATGCAACATTCGTAAGATATACTCGAAGCAAAGCCTTACATTAGATAACCAACAGGAAGGCATCTGTTAGTTTTGAAGCAAATGGGGATTGTGTATGTAAAGCCGAAATCAGATGTAACAGTTATCTGTAACAGCGCGTTGAAAGAAATATTTCGGGGAATCTCAGCTTTCGGATCGAATATATGATTGGTTGAAATAAATCGTTATATTAGTCTTAAAAGTTATCCGTGACAAAGCATCGGAAGAAAAATTTCAGGGAATCTTCGCTTTTAGGAGAACTAGTGGTTTGACTTATGCAAAAAGCAGTTCCTTGAAGAAACCCTGCTCAACACACAGCTGAAAATGAAATAATTTTTCGTGTCGTTATGAAAATGCCTCGCGTACATGACAGGACATCTGTTCCAGTGAAACAATTTTGGCTAGGAACCCTCCAGTGTGGGAGAAAGAGAAGCTCTTTTCTTGTAAAAGTTCCTGTTAGGGTTACTCGTAATTATATGTGATAATGCCTTTGTGCGGGAACTAGATCTTTTGGGAAAACGACCGCGAGACTCGAGTGCAAGCGAAACATTTTTGCCTCAATCTCAAAATGTCATCATGTGGTTTAACCAGGACATCGGTTATAATGAAAGTGTTTCAGCTGAGAACTCTCCAATGCTAAGAGAAGGGAAAGCTTTTTTCTTGGAAAAATTTCTTCTAACTTCACGCGTCATTAAATGTGATAACTTCTTTAGAATTAAATGTGATAACCTCTTTAGAATTTAGAGTCATTGCGATAAGTTCTATAGTTAGTAAAGTGGGCTGTCATATAATAGCATCCAGCTACAGTATCGATGTTTGCGAATATTTTCCCCATCTCTTGCTGGTGTATTATTGGTCCTCTCTTGTAGTGCAGCTAGCTATGCTCTCGATCCTGAAAATGAGTGGTTAAAGACGGATGAATTTGGCCGCCCCCCTAATACTTAATTAATATATGCGCGGGCGTTGGATGAGGAATTTAGGAACAGCATGTCAGTAAAAAGCTCTCTCTATAAACTATGTGCGTATTCTTTAACGGCTGTAATTTGTTTCAAGTAATTAAAATTTTGTTCTTGCAATTATAGGAAAACGGGAGAAAATACTGTTTTCAAACAAAGTTAACTTACATTTATATCAAACTTACGCAATCAACGAAAACAGATAAAAACCAAAGACATGGACTATAAATTTCTAGAACATTCTTTTAGCTGTATTATACTTAAATGAAAGTAAATAACTGGAACTGTTGTGTATTAATTTACAGTGCATAGTGAATGCATTAATTTAGAGTGCATAGTGGATTTAGAATGTTAGTATCTCTGAACTAATTATTAATATCTTGTTATTTAAATGCTTTTTTCATTTGAATGCAGTAAAGCTCTTAATGAGCTAGCGAAAAGAATTGTGTAGTTAAAAAGCGGGTGATGTTCCTTCTCATGAGAATAGTCTTTCTCATGAGGCTTGGAGTCATAGATCGGAAGACACCTATGCTCGCGGCCCCTTTACTTCCAATCTGAACCTGTGTTTCTCCTCGTTGGAGGAGAGAAAATTTCGGCTTTCTTATGAAATGAAAACTTTATGTTTTGTTTATCATTACAGGTGTTGCCTTTGACAGAAATACGGTTCAAAATATTCCCTGAAGTTTGGCGTAAGAACAGGGTATGTCACTTTTAAAAGGGAGTTAGACATTTCTTGGAAATTTGGAGTCAAATTATTGTTCTTTTTCTCGTTGGTTGGAGAGAGTTCAAGATAGGTAATTGAGCCAATAGTGAATTTAGAGGCGGCCCTTATTTCCAAAATACCGAGGTTTTAGAAGTTGCACGAGAGTCAGGAGAATTTTCCACCGTAAAGAAATGTTAAAAAAGACAACGGGAGGTAAATTACAGCCTCCTCCCGTGACTTGCGATCTACACGGACCGGACCAGTTGCATTGCGGGTTCTCTTCGTGATACTTATCGGCGATTATGCAAAAATTGGGCTCGGGCCCGAACAAGCTGCTCCTCAGGGAATTTGTTTTATTCGTCACTGGTTTTTGTTGAAAAATAATTCATGATGCGTCTTCAGATTTCAGATAAAAATTAATAAGTGGTTGATTTGCATCTCCCGTTGTCTATTGCTTACAGTTGTCCTCATTGGGAGGATCTAACCATCAATCTGTGGCTTGCGGTGCTGTTTGCAAGTTCATTGCCATTCCCTCATCTGTAGTTTAGTGACTGAAGTTATAAAGTTTCGGTCATTCATCAGGAAACTGGACTTCCTAATGCGCCGTATTAGGAGGAGGTAGATTTTGCGAAAACAGATTGCTTTACGGCATTCAAATGAAAAAAAATGAGTTTAAATAAGAATTAGTCCACAAATATTAATATTCTAATTTCAATATGCACTCCAAATTAATATATTCACTATGCACAGTAAATTAATACACAATACATTCCTTGCACTATATTCAATTGAAACTAACACCGTACGAAGCGTACATACCGCATTTACAGCGCGGAATAAATAAATCGTAAGTATTAAAATATGTTTTGTTTAGCTCCATTTTACATGCGTGTCATATAAACTATCTTAACGGAATGATAACGTAAAAGCGGATACATCATCTGTTACCGAAATATCTGGCAGCTATTACTTAGAAATATAAAGTATTTTAGTAAATCATACAGTCTTGAATAGAATTCTTTCATCTTTTACTCATCTTATAAAACTTTCTTTGAATTTTTGCTAAAATACCCAATATTTTGTCCTACATTAATGAATTTCTGTATTTTAATTAAATATTTTTGAATACTAATAAATGTAATAAACAAGATTAAAAATGAGCGTTAAAGCATAAGATTTTTTCATATTTATTTAAATTATACTTGACCGCACGTAAGTACACTTGCAAAATAATTACTTTTTTAAAATGCAGAACAATGTTTGAGAATATAATAAAGCAAAATTATTTATAATGCAATACACTTTTATCTTTTTTTAATGATATTAAAATCGAATCTTTATTTTTTGATACCCAATTACCTTCAAAATATTAATAAAATACTATACAGTTCTAGTCCAAATTATTTGAAGTAAAATGGGGTTACTATTATACAAATATTATGAAGATTTCTTGAAAATATATTGAAATATCCTATGCGGACACAAACATGAACACAAAAAGATAAATAAATAAATAAAAAATATTTTTAAGCGAAAGGAGTTTCAAGTTTACCTCACTCTAAAACCAATTATCATTATGACTTTACTACATAAACTCCCCTTATTTGCCATTTTTAAATAGAGTTACATATCAAGAGAAACACTGTGCATATTTACAGGTATAGTCTCTTTTAGTAGAAAGTGAAAGATGTCACACGTCTCTTTAATTATCAGCTTATATTTATATAAGTAATATTTAAACTTTAATCGTGAGAAATTATTTAGTCTGTGATTTTTTACATTTTTAACTGCTACAAACTATAACACATATTTTTGCTTTCAAAATCGATTTTGTTGAAGGTTTAAAGTCGTGAGAACCGATATTTTGAAATTTTGTGCTTTCAGTACTATCCATATGTATTAATACAGCAATTCATACTAATTTTCAATTTATTTCTTATTCTAGGTTACAGCGTTCATGGCAGGAGGGAGAATTGGCTTCTATAGAGGGGACATTAAACTTCTGAGCGAAGATATCAAAACCTTGAAACCGACATACATGCCTGCAGTTCCCCGCGTGCTAAATAGAATATATGACAAAGTGAGATTTTATGTATTATTTTAATAAACGTATTTAAATTTAAATCTGATATTTAATAATCTTCATTGATTAAAAGTTCTGGTAAAAATGAGAAAGAATACATCTAGCTAATATGTATATATATATATATATATATATATTTCCTAAACAGTATTGATTATATTATCTCCTAATAGAATTATTTTAAAAGTGTGAATCCATATGGTAAGTTATATTTTGAAAGATGTTTTGAAGTAATTTGAAAGCAAAAATGTTAATATGTTTTAACGGGGAATGGAGTTAAATCATCATGAAGAATAAAATTTCAATTGTAAAAGGAAAAATTAAAACATGTAATCATTGTCATTGATCGGAAATTAGTTGACTTTCAATGGGAACAACCAACTCCCGTTCAATGAACAATAATTGATAAAAATACGTAAATACGAAAGTGTTTTCGTCCTTACGCGAGTTATAAGTTAAAGCCAAACCGGCAAATTCTAGTCAGGCCAAATATTTCCGCGAATAGAAGGAATTATGAACCAATGCTGATACTCAAAGAACTTATTCTTATGAAGCATTTTAGTCAATTTAATTGGAGTAAAAAATCAATTACTGTAGAGAAATCCTAATTAACTCGAGTAACCGTCCCCGACACTTTCATGTTTATGCATTTGAGTACTATATTATTTGTAGAAATTAAACATTGGAAATTGTCATTATGAAATCGAATTCAAAGTAAAGTTGAAATAAACATAGAAGATTACAAAATAAGATAAATATGCAATTTGTAAAAACAAATCAAAGACAATATAAAAATAATATAAAATAATATAGAAATAATGTAAAATAAGATCAGTGAATGTACATGAAGATATAAAGGCCAGAAAAGGTATTAAGTAACTTACATTCTTTCTAGTGGGGGAGTTGGCAAAGTGTTCTCTTCGTGTCTGACTCACAAGTGTAGGGTGTCCGAAAATTCTTAGCGGCAGTGGGGGCTTTGAATAATATCAGTCGGTTAGACTTGGGTGAAGTAATTTATGGTAGTAGGTGGGACTTGGAATTCTTGAGGGATGTATTATGTGGAGTTCTTATCTGAGTGAGACTGTCTGTTAAGATTTTTTTTGAAAATACTAGTGAATGGAAATTAATTAATTTCTGGCTAATTGTCGTGTCGCAATGATTAAGAATTTAAGAAAGGAAAAAGGAATTTTCACTGTCCAAGAGCTAATAGATGTAAATATATATATATATATATTATATGTATGTATATATATATATATATACATATATATATAGGAAATAGAAACAAACTTAGAAATAATAAACAGCAGAAATTTCGATGGCGTAGAAATGTTGATCCATAATAAATAAGAAACTGGTAGCCGAAGTACATCAAATCTTCATTTTATTTTAAGTAAACATGTTGCGGCCGCAAACAACTTAACACATTATTTGTGCGTGTTAGAAGAGGTTTACATTTCTGGTAACTTAATTGGGCTCCGGATTTTTGGTAAATTAATTGGGCAGCAGGAAGAAACGGACGGTACTGCAGCTAAGCCGAAAAGTAGCGAGCGTGTTATGGCCAGGGTGAAATCTTAATTCAGACTGAGTTTTGGTTCTCAATGGATTTTGATTGGATAGTTAATTACTGCTGTAAAATTATAATTGGCTCTACGAGTTTTTGTTCCATTTACGTCATCAGAATTATGTAAGAGCCATATGACGTGAATTAATCTCGAAATGATGCAGTGCAAATGGAGAATACCATTTTTAGAATGCAGAGGGGAAATAAATTTACGTTGGTAATTTAAATTTTATTTTTTACATATTCTATTAGATTTACATATTCTATTTTACATATTCTATTATTCTTACGTATCTCCCCCTTCAAGGAGAAAAAGGCTTAAAAGGCGTAGCGACAAAGAAGCCTTTTTAAGAGAAAAGTATTATAGTAGCAGTAGCAAATGAATGTGAATCATAAAATTTTGATGAATATAATTAATTAAATAACTGTAAAGTATAATTTTTGAACAGCAATTTAAAAAAACAAATATAGTTTTTAGAGTCCTATTATATGTTTTAGCATTTCAGTCCAAAAGACATCTTATTTTAGAGTTCACATGATCATAATTCAGAAAAAATATTCGTCATCACAGAGTATCACAAAAACTTCTACATAACCATAACTTATTCTAATTAACTGAAACATATAAAAATATATGACACTGATTTTCATATTAATTAATTATATTTAACATCACAAACACAGTGTAATAATAAATAGATATCACGGTATCAAATGTAATGATAAATAGATTTAAGTGTAATAAATATGATTACTTAGGCACCAAAAGTAGTAATTTTGCCAAATGTAATAAATGTGTCAAAGGTAATAATTTAGAGTGTTTGATTTTAAGGATTAACAAATGTAAAATCAAATGAATTACTTACTTAGTAGATTGCGTTGTGGAAGCAATAACCCATAATACTTGCAAAATGTGCAGATAGAAATGTGTGATCTTGAAAGGAAATATGAAATTAAAGTGACTTATCCCAAAGGATACCAATCAGTTATCACAAAATCAATTAATTTTTATTCTTTCTTTAAGATTTTCACTACTGAAATAAGCATTCATATAAGTGATTTTCACTACTGAAATAAGCATTCATATAAGTAAAAAATTATCAGCCAGAAGACAAATGTAGGTCTTAAACAAAATCAGGATCGGAAAATCTAGCACGTGTGAGGCGCATTACCAAAATAACATTGCACCAAAATAACGTCAGATTGAAGTTAATCTTCTTCCATCAATGTGAAACAAAGTCTCGGTGAAAAAGAAACAGTCAAAATTTAACGGCAGTAATTAAGCGTACTTAATTAACCATAGTATTTTATGCTTATTCATTTTTAAATCAGGAAAAGATGAAATACGTGCGAACGAAGACTTTTCGAAAGGTTGAACAAAAATTATTTTTCCCAGCTAAATATATGGAAACTGGAGTAATTATCTTCTTGAATTTTCTCACTAAAAAGATTTTCCATATATTAGCAGAAAGTATCGAAGGAAGCAGCAACGACAAGCAGGAAAATTGGCACATCGCATTGGCCAGAGTGAAGACAGCCAGAGACCGTCCTACACCTCCGAACCCCAGCAGCAGACGAAGGAGAAACCGGTTATTGCAATCAATTTCGCCTTATCATTCGGCGGTCGCAGTTAGCACACCTGACGCTGAATAATGTTGAGGCTTGCCTGCACACACTGGAGGAATAATACTGCAAAAATTATGGTTTCACTCTAGTTATCGTTTGATTTTCAATTCCTTATTTTACCGAATTGGAAGGCCCCGCAGTACTTCTAAACAAACATTTCCATCAGTGCGGCTATCCACTTGAGCTAACCAGTGTGTCTGTTCTGGAAATATGTAAGACAAAAAATATGTGAAATCCAAATTATAATTTAAACTAACGGTAACCACTTACTTCTTCCTCTCTATTCTAAAAATTCTGATAACTCGTCCGGAATGCGTCACTTCTAGATCAATCCATCTTGCATGGCCTTCACAACGCTAATGACGTAGTTATTTTGGAACCTAAACTCTGAGAACTGAAACCTTTCTAACTTAAACCTTTATCTTCACAGACTGCCATATTGGGTAGATGCGCACTTAGCCTGCAGCTTTGTTACCGCTTGGACGCTTTTTCATTTCGCTGTGCTTTGTCGTGCTAACTACGCCGTTATTTAAAATGTAATTTCTATATAAAATTATGGTGTGCGTTTTGAGCTTATGTTCATGTGTAATGAAAAATATCGTTTCGTTAATTAGTTCTGTCTAGCAATAAAGATTATGCTCAGTTCGGCTATGTCTGTTTACAAGGCTTTCCTTCGAGTGCAATCTTCCTAATTATGCAGCAGTCTCTCCAGGTTATAACGCTGACAAGCATCATCAAGCCGTTGCAGCTTACTTCAAATTTTTATGACATATATATTTAAGAATGCTATGCAAAACCTTGATTGATAAATTACTTAATGTTTTTATGGTCTTAACCGTTTAATATTAACAAATTTTGGTGCTCAGGAAATGTTAACATGATACACCATAGATATTCACGTAATATCCACACTTTAAGCTGTAAGGTATTTCTCCCGCTTTCCTAGCGTGCCTTCGTGGTGTAGTGGTTCATCACACTGGGCCGGTATTCCAGAGGTCCGTGGTTCGATTCCCAGCAAAGGCGTTTGCTATTTTTCATCTTTCCCTGCTTCCAAAAATATGCCTAATGTCTCTACAGGGGCGCCCGAACTAAAAGGGTTGTGGATGATGATTCTCCACACCCAGGATTTGGCGACTAGGTCCCCTAAAACCCTAGTCGCCCTTTAGAAAGGGGAGTATGTAAGGTATTTCTCTAGCTTTCCTTCGTGGTGTAGTGGTTCTTGCACACTGGGCCGGTATTCCAGAAGTCCGTGGTTCGATTCCCGGCGAAGGCGTTTGCTATTTTTATTTTCCTGCTTCCAAAAATAATACCTAATGTCTCTGCAAAGCTTCAAAAAAGAATATAAAGAAAAATGTATCGAACTATGTATTTTTCTCACGAGAAGTTTTCCTTTTCAGTTTTCTGTAATTAGCTGTATGAAGAACGATTTTTTTTGCTGATATAGATAGATAGATATAGATATGTAAGATATAAAATATGGACATTTATTAACAAAGTGAAAATATACCTTTAAATTTCTAATTCTCAATCAAAGCATAACTCCTTCAAGGCATGTGCATTTTTTCTGCAGTTATCGCGTTTCTGTATACGTTTGCCCAATCGCTGTTGAGGATTAAAATAAATACTTTCCGAGCTTATAAATACTGCTGTAATAATTACGCATATCCTTTTCGCCACATCTCCTTCATGCTGGCAACGTGTCGCTTAGCCTGTGCTAGCTGTTTACCATTCATCAAGATTTAATTACGTGTCTAATTTTTATTTATTTATTTATTTAATTTTTTTTTACAAATGGCGGACACTTGCC